AATGAGACATTTCCCCCCCTTTCTTAAAGAAAGAACATACTAATATTCTTTTGCAGTCTTGCTCCACTGTTCCATGCAAAAAAGTTGAGAGCACGTTTATACTCCAAAAATAATTTTGTTTTACTAAGTTAACTGCCATCGTTATTTACCTAACAGATTTACTGAAATTAATGGAAATTGGGGCAGAGAAGCCAGCAGCAAGAATAATGATGATCATTCTTTGAAAAAATACCTAAAAGGCAACGTGTTTCAGGCCTTACGGGCACACAGAGCTCTTGCAATACATAATTTCTGTTAGATGCTGAGTAGGAGCAGAATTTGCTGAATGAGATTTGTCCTCTGGGACAAAGGAGTTGCATCTTCACTAAACCTTCCTTACCTCGTAATGTTTGTAATTCCTTTGTGCTTTTTATGAGCAGGTCACTGTTTTGATCTGCAGGTAATTACCACCCAAACACAGGCGAAGTTGTTCCCATTGTGTTCTCCTGCTCCATGTTGTGCAAATCAGAGATACAGCTTCTAGTTCTGGACATCTTTCCTTTACCTGTTACCCACCACTACTTATATTACTTAAAGGCCAGCACAGAACATTAGGAAAAGTCAGGATTAACTCTGGTCTCCTCGAGCCTGCAGAGCAACAAGTCCTGCGGGGGCAATGAGGCCACTGCTGCTGTTGAAATGGCATTGTGGGGGGAGAAGGTGCATCTTCCTCCTCTGGGCAGTGGCTGCAGCCCTGACAATCAGTAGGAGCAGGAAAGGCAAGCCATGGAAAGAATCCCTGAGCCCACACAGCTGTCAGCCTGTTTGAGCAGAAGCAGCTAACGTGGGGACCCAGCCCCAATCTGCTGCCCCAGATGTGAAGCAGATGCTGACGGGGCTCTTCCAAGTAACGTTCCTTCCTCTGGTCATGTGGAGTTAAACTCCCTGGATTCCTTTTCCATTATATTAACAGATACAGATTTCATACACTCATTTATTAGCTGTACCCCCTAATGCACAGCACATGGGCAGATCTCTGGCAATCACAGGAATGCAAACTAACAGGACAAAGAGCACAAGCCCCTAGCTAACACTTCTCATTAAATCCTTGTGCTTCAACTGCCTTTTTTAAGCCTTTGTCTTCCCCAAAAATGCTCACTTTATGCCATAAAATACACTATACTACTATTTACTGTATCACTTCATTTTACAAATACTATCAATTGTGTTTTCCATAGTAATAATTTCTATCTCCAAACAGCACTTGCACTTTTATTCCACCAAGACCTTGATTATAGTGCACAAACCAGTGAGATTCCAGTGGTATCTAAACAGTAATGAATTTAACTGCTTTTTAAACATAAATAAAGTTAAAATACAAGTAGTATCAACATAGGACGGTCTAATTTTTTAACTTGCTACTTAAACTGATTTAGTAATTACATTAATTAGGTAATCCATTTAAGTAAAACAATCCCATATGCTTCATTTTATGTATTAAGGGTAAAATGTACATGCATTTTTTAGGTCTTCAGACAGTGTAAATCATCTGGCTTTTATTTACTTCCCAGAACTTTGCTAGTTTACACCAGCAGAAACACACAGATAAAGGCTTTGCTTTTCTAGTAGGAAACTGTTTAAACTGCCTTATAGTGAGATGGGATTAGGAAATCAGCCATGGAACAGAGATTCTGAGCTGTAATCAGTGCCATCTGCATATCACCAGAACAGGCTGATTATTTTTGTCTAAACTTAGATTTTTTCAAGTGTGTGTAACAGGCTGAGAGGGTTCTCTTAATAATGAATAATAAAGTATTTTTCTTAGCAATGAATTATAAAGTATTTTCTTTCCTCACAGAGATTTAAGAGAATTGTTGGGTTTTATCATGTTCTGAAAACAGGAAGAAATCCAATGCAAAGGAAATGCTGGTAAGATGAACGTGGCTGAACCTGCAGAGCTGTGAACAGGAGCATTGCTGCTCCCTGAGTTCTGCTCGCAAAGGCTCCAAAGCCAACAAGGGGTGGAAAAGAGAATTAATGAGGTGCTGACAAGCAAGAAGACACACATCTCTTTGGATGAGAGCAATTGCCCATGAATATGTGGAGATAACTTTTCAAAACTACTTGGAAACGAATTTTGAATGCTCAGGCCATGTAGTTCACCCCCAGGTTTTTTGAGATGTCAGCCCTGGAAGTGGGGCTTCCCTTTCCAGGGACAGCTCAGGGTCCAGCCTGCCCTGGTGGGATCCCTAGAAAACCTGTTCCCATCCCATACGACCCCCACCCACACAGGGCTGAAATGGGATGCACTCACTGAGCCCTCACCAACTATTCAGCTGCTACACTCACAGTTTGTATGCAACAGGGACACAGATTTTATTTCATTACTGTGAGGGAAAGAATAAACTACTGTGCTACACCCTACCTTATCTAGAATTCAAACACAGGCAGCTGACACAGTTAAATGTATTTTATGAAGTTCTCACTGCTGATTTTAGCTGTTCCCTGCTCTCTCCAGGAAGGTCTGCTACCTCTACATGGAGAGCAAGGCAGGTTTCTGTACATTAAATATTCACTGAGACCCATTCTCACACTCAGAAAAGGGCACTGCAACTGCCAAGGCTCAGGTCCAGAGGCAATTCTGATATAACAACATCACTGCAGGTATAATGCCTGCCACCTTACAGTACTTTTCCCAGCAAATCACAATTTTAAAACGACAAACAAGACAGAAAAAGATATTCCCATACAAATTTAATTGTTGACAAAATCTGCTTGGCACCTTTGAAGTCAAAGTAATGCAGCTACTCAAGAACACGGGACTAAAAAAGAGAGAACAAGAGGTTTAAATGAACAAGAGGGAGACACATTTCTATCATTTCAGTCACTGGAAATTGCTACTGAAAGGATCAGAAATATGGTTTCACATAAAAATGCAGAGGTGGTTTTTAAGACTTTACAACTCTGTGGATGAGAACACGTAGCCAGCACATGGACTTTTTTGCTCTCCCTTCCAACACTTAACCTACTCTCTTTGCAGCCTGCAAAACATTCCCTTGTGTGCCCCCCAAACACAAATCCTCACTAACAGGCCATTGATCCCCTTGTACTGGTGCCACTGCTGCCTTACACCCTCTGAAGAGCCCAGATCTGGGCTCCTTGCAGCAACAATTCCTCCAGGGCTCCTTGGAGACGCAGGTTCCACCAGAGCCCAAGCACAGGTAGTTTATCACAAACCCTGAGCTTTGTGCAGCAGCACAGAAAGGTCCAGCACCAAACCACTCCTGCATTATGACACTTCACATTAACCAAACTCTTCACTCAATAAACCCACTTCTTGTGGGCCAGCAAATTCCTAGAATTATTAAACAGCTTCCAGAGGACTTCAGAAGGGTTTTCTTGTTTTACTCTTTGTTATCTTGAAACTTTCAAGCTTCTGTAAAATACTGATTCACAAGAGCTCATCTTCTATGAAACTATGCCCCAATATTTATTGTTGCCCAGGGATAAACGTCTGTCTCATGGGAAAAGAAGGGCAAATGCACTTTTCCCTGTACATACCTTCACCATTCATTGCTGGAGAATGATTCTGAGCAAATACAGCAGATCCATTTTTAACAGTGTCAGGAGATTCAGAGAGAGCCTGAAAGAGCAAATAATACAATTCTTGGGACTTGTACATCACAGGGTTTAAAGACTCCAATAGGAAGTAACCAGGGAAGATGAGAGTGGGCAGCTCTCCCTTACCTGGTAGCTCTTCACTGTGCAGGTATTGTCCTCCTCAGCTTCCTCTGGGACACTCAGTGTATTCCCCATAGTTCCTGTCAGGTGGAGGGAAAAATCCAAATAACCTTTTCTTCCTCATTAATATGAATTTGCTGCCTGGTTCCAATTAAGAGACAGCCAATGGGGACAGACAGGCTGTTGAGGTCCCTAAAAAGCCCCACCTGCCCCATCATCAGGCTGCACCAACCAGTCTTATCCCAAGCCCATTATCCTCAGGGCTCACAAGTGCTCACAGAAAATGGTACAAACCAACAAACTTTTCTTGTTTGTTGAGGAAAACTGGCTGCAATCACACCTGCATCATTCATTAGGGCTCAGGAGAGAGCAACGTGGAGTTAGCAGCAGAAAAACACTTAAATCTGAATAAATTACAACAGCTTGTATGTTTTTGTTTGGTTTTCATTTAAAAAATGCAGAAAGAAAGGAGGCAGCATGTAAAGGCATCATCCATGTAAACTCTGAATTGCAGTCTCTTTTCCGTGTACAAGTGCACATAACCTTCTGGGTTTTTTGTTTTATTTTCCTTTCCCCATAATTTAGAATACATTCATGTGCCCTCTGAGCTGGCTGTGCTTTAGGATTGTAGATTCTTTGGGGCCAAACACTCCCTGTAATGTGGTGGAGGGGCAAAGGAATCTGAAGTCAAGGGGGAAGTTCCTATTAGACTTTGGCTCAGGATATAGATGTGTGCATACTGGTAAATAAATAAACAGTGAAGAGAAAGTATTCTGAGCCACACCTTGAGACAGGAAGGTGTCCAGAGAGAGGAAGGCAGAGAAGGGAGAGCTGTGCTCATCCTTTTGGATGTCCTGCACAGCCCCCACGGGTACCAAGTGCCTTCTGCTTTGTTATTGCTCTGGTTTCTGCCTGCATGAGTCAGTGAAGCTGCAGAGGCATGGATGAGAACAACTCCTTTAATGAAATTAAATTTTAATCAAACAACCTGTAGCTGTTGGATAAAAGAAGGAAAACAGTAGCTTTGCTAAAGGATGTTCACTCGAATTGGAATGTGCTGCTTCCAGTTACTGTTTGCTGAGCTCAAGCTCAGGGTGCAGAGGTATTTTACAGGAGTTTTATCTCCTCAGCTGATATTTCCAGTGTAAATCAGAAGTTCTGATTTGTGGTGGAAAACAGCCAGAGCTTCCCTGTGGATGTACAATGGCCTCTTGTCCCTGCTCTGTAATTCTGTTTCCTAGCAACTTTAAACATTATTCTGTTGGAAGAGAAGAAAACAAGATTCAAATCCTACTGCTTAGTCTTGATGATAAATTTAGTATCTGGTTGAATCTGGAGGATTTACTTTTGTTTTCCATTCACAAGGCCTGGTTTATGCCAGGAGACAACTTAAGCAAAAGATGGAATATTTGCAGGTTTGCTTCCTTTTTAACACGAACTGTCAAATCATTTTGTATCTGTGGGGAGAGAGAGAAGCAAATTCCTCTCTTTCTTTTTTATTTCAACAATGATTCGTATCTTGATTCTCAGCCACTCCAATTTCCTGTTGTTGCAGGTCTACTCACATCAAGTAAGTTATCTTTAAATGATACAGAGCAGAGATCACAGGCTCTGAGCTCTGGCAGAGTTCTAGGAAAAATTACCCATTTTCTAAAATCAAGTTTATAATTCTCACTGAAATAAAACACACACAGTGGTCCTGTGGAATTTTAGAATATTTTCACTCACCAGAGCTTTTTGTCATAGAAAGCTGGATAGGTATTGAAGGCTTTATTTTTCCAAAAACTGAGTAAACTTGCTGGATTATGGATTACCCTTTCAGAATATGATCCCAAAACACCAAACACAGTTTTCCACACAGATACAGAATCAAGGAATAGAGAAACTGTGGCTGCCCTATCCCTGGAAGTGTCCAAGGCCAGGTTGAAGCAACCAGGTCCAGGGAAGGTGTCCCTGCCCATGGCAGGGGGGTAGAATGAGATGATCTTTAAGGTCCCTTCCAACCCAACTCATTCTGTGATCCTATGACACATATATGTACATAATGCTTCTGCCCAATTTTAAGGAGAAAATGACAGGTCACTGCCACCTACAGACAAATCTGAGCATCAGCAGAAATTATAATATAAACATACAAAATGATATCAAACCAGCAGAGTTGCCCAGCAAGTAATGTCACAGCTCTTCCCTTCTGCCACCACGTCTCAAAATTGCTGCTGCTGCAGAGACTGTTGCAGCTCATTGCACATGTGGGGCTCTAGAGCTGAGTAAATGGGAGGAAATTCTTAAATGTGAAGCCAAAGAGGTTTTCTGAAAAATAAAGGGTGTTTATGAACCAAAGAATCACAGAATATTGGGGCTGGAAAGGACCTCTGGAGATCACCCCGTCCAACCCCACTGGGAGTTGGACTCCCTGCCTGGGCAGGGTCACCCAGAGCAGGTGACACAGGAACATGTCCTGGTGGGTTTGGAATGTCTCCAGAGAGGGAGAATCCACACCTTCCCTGGGCAGCTGTTCCAGGGCTCTGCCACCTCCATGAGAAGAAGTTCTTCCTCATGCTGAGGTGGAACTTGTTGTGTTTTATTTTCTGACCATTCCAGAAGGTGCTGAGGGCTCCCAGTGTGCAGGAACCTGCCTGAGGACCGGGAGCCTGTGGAAGCTCTCAGGATGTGGCCATGAGTTTGTTCCCAGTGAGCAGACTCAGACATTGTCAAGCACTGAGCACATCTGTCCAGCTGTGAGCCCAACACCACCCTCAGGGTGCTCACTTGGCCTCTCCTATGGGTGTCTCAGTTATTAATCAAATTTTTAGCAGTTCAATCACCAGGAAAGACCTATTTGTGCCCTTTGTTCTGTGTTTGAGAAGCACAAAACTGGTCTCTGTAGTAAGCTGTGAGTACAGAGAAAACCTCCACCAGACCTGGGAGTCTGTGAGAGAAGATTTGACAGCATTTACAGGGACAGGACAATTTTTGATGATTGAGTGGGAAAAGAGATGATGCTGAAGTAAGAAAATTCTTCAAAATGAGAAGAAAGCCCTTAGAAGTCAAGAGGAGTTGGAGCAAGCTCATTCTCATCCTTAGGCTTCCTTTCTAGAAACAGATTTTTTCACTGAGTTTCAAGGATATTATCCTCCTGGGGGGCTCCTTCAGGCCAGGTGGAATGCAGCCCAACTGGTTTAAAAGGGAACATGAACTACCAGCCTCTACATCAGACACAGCTCTGAAACAGTTCCTTTCCCCACTTATGCTTCACTGCTTCTATTGTAATGCAGAAAACAATACAAAAGAAAAATGTATCTTAAGTTTTTTGTTTGTGTTGTATGAAGCATTATGTGCCTAAGCAGAAGGTCAAGGCTTGGGAAAATCCTCTTCTTTTTTTCTCTTTCTCAAAAATCCTTATTTTGGTGCTGGCAGAGTGGTAGAAGATTTGAAAACTGTTAGAAAAAACTCCAACAAAACCTGTGATCTTCTGTGTACTCTGGCTAAAGCCAGCTGAGCCTGACCTTTCTAATGTAATGGCCGAGCTGCAGTATCACAATCACCTGTGTCACGGTGTCTATTAACGTCAAAAGTACAAAATTAATCCCTCACTAGAACTTGCCATATGTTGTACTTAAATGTCAGAAAGAATGATCAACTTTCCTTCCTCTTGGAACCCAGGTGAGCACGGAGACAGGTCCCTGTCCAGGTAGGAAGGCAGAAGCTCCTGCTTTGATTCATGTGGAACCAAGAAAGGACTGATAATAGGATAGAGTTTTAGAGAGACTCCTTACCTTCCCTCAGTGCCGCTCTCAGTTGCTGTCCTGCAGGAACAGACACCTCAGACACGTGCTGGGTGTGATGAAACCAGGGGCCAAGTGCATCTGAGCCCTGTCAGTGGCTGGGGAGGAGGAATGGACACACAATAGACAGTAGTGAAGGGACAGGAGAAGGAAGGGTTGAGCTGACTCACCTACAGCAAACAAGAAACACCCAAGAACAACTTGAATAGCAGCCTGGCAGCTGCCTGTGCATCCAGGGCATCCAGAATCACACTCCTTAAGGCTCTAGGGGCAGTTTTTAATACATTTCTTTCAGCCACTTTGCACCGGAGCCAAATGGGAAAAGCAAAACAGTTCAAACATTCAGACCTGGGCTTTCAGGGAGAAAACAGTTCAACAATGCCACAAGGTGAACAATCCCAGCCTGGCTGGTCTTTGTATTCTCGTGTCCTTGTGCAGAAAAAGTCAGTACATTGCAAGGGAAAAGTTACAGCAGGTGCTTTAAAGCACAAACAAGAGAAGCCAAACAGGAAATCCCAGGATCATTCAGCAGGAGAGCACAGGCAGAGCTGCTCGAGTAGAGGAGGAAGAGCAAAAGCAAAACCCAAGAAAAGCCAAACCAGCAGCAGCAGCAGGAGTTACCTGGGGAGGGTGGCTGGGACACCCTCTGGGAGCTGGAGCTGGTCCAGGTGAGGTGCTGCCCACCCAGCTCTGCCCCAGGCGAGGTGCTGCTCCCCCAGAGCTGGCCCAGGCGAGGTGCTGCTCCCCCAGAGCTGCTCCAGCTGAGGTGCTGCTCCCCCAGAGCTGCTCCAGCTGAGGTGCTGCTCCCCCAGAGCTGGCCCAGGTGAGGTGCTGCTCCCCCAGCCCTGCCCCTGCCCTGCTGTGCCTCCACAATCAGCCCAGGGAGTGCTCACAAACACTGGGTGCAAACACAGCGAGGGTGGAGCAGCTCCGTCCACCTTCCCAGCCTTCTCCGAGTATTTTCTGTTCTTAGCACTTTGGCCACCCAAACCTGTTCCAAGGCACACCTGGATTCGTGGCTCTGGGGCAGCCTCTCATGGACACTCTGGTATTGGGAATTCTGACATTGTGTGGACACCTACAAACCCCTTCCAAACCTGGACTTTTCCCACCATGGCAGACAAAACCAAGTGCTTTTGATGACATGACTGTTTGCTGTAGTCAAAGTGGTTCTTAATATCCCTCCATAATGTGCAGACTGACTAAGTGTTGGTATTTTAAACCCATTGTCACGATTTGCTGCTCCCTCAGGTGAGTCACTAAGCCCACACTCAGACTGGGGGTGTCTGG